ATGTTCAAAAAAAAAAAATAAGAGCTAATGAAAAAAAAAAAGGGAAATATGAGGCAGTTTCCCATAAAACATAAGAAAAACGAGCGAAATGTAAGATAATTTATCCCAAAAAAATAAATATATAATTTATGTGTGACTGATTGGCCAAATAGTTTTACAGGTTAAATTTGGGTAATTAAGGTACAAATTCCTGATACAAAATAATGGAATTCAGAATTAAATGCACACAATTGATGTGTAACCTAATTTAAGGGTGCCAAAAACTACACGAGGATCCTTTCTTGCAATTTCCGTTATCGTGAAATTTACATACTCGCTGCCCTTTGGGCGGAGCTCTGTAAGAACCAACCCCATTTCCATCGGGATGGAATCATTGCCTACCATTCCAGGATGATCTACCTCTATTAAAACTTGAACCTTTGCCCTGAAAATCACGGTCTCTTGGACCAGAATAACTTGTTTGGTTTGCCCAATAACCTGCATTATCGTCGTAAGTGCCTGAATTCATGCTGCCATTTTCTTGCACCCTGATATGGTCGGTTCCATAGCCCAAGACTATACTTTCTTGGTCGAACCCTCCATAATTCAAGTTTGAGTTTCCATTAATTGTTCCCCAACTAGCTACTCTAGTTTCTGACCCTGGTCTCCAGGTACTATCTCTGGTAGTCATGCCCCAAGTTGTCATAGGGGAAGCATCAAAATGAGTTATTGATTGCCTTGCTGCTGAAATGTTGTCAGGTCTCGTATCTTCATCCATTTCAGTACTCGTGGAGGAATGAGCACCAGAACTTTTTTGAGCACCAAGAATTTCAGCTTGAGGTACTGCAAAAGGCTCAGTGGTCACAGTTGACTGAGAAGGCATTTGAATATCACTCGTGGAGCTCCACGCATCACTTCTTACAGGATCAAGAGGTGGGCTCAACCCATCTACCGGACTAAAACAATCATGTTCAGAACCTTGAGTCAAATCCCCACTGCATCGCAAAATTGAAGTAGGGGAAGGCAATCCACTTAGAGACTCCATTGCCTCAACTTCAGCCAGGAGATCTGACACTGACTCGTCAGCCAAGGAGAGATCTGAAACTGGTTCATGTGCAATTTCCGGCCAACTAGAAATATTAGTTGCAAGATTTGCTGGAGAGGAATGTGTCAACTGGCAGTTTCCTGAAGTTGGTGTAGCAGCATGATCACTGGCCAACTCAGTTGGTCTCAAAGAAGACTGGGTGACCAGATTTGAGTCCCATTCATCCACAGGTTTGGTTGGAGTAGAGGAATATCCACCCCATTCACCAGCAACATCGGGAAGCTGTGGTCCACCACCCACTAGGCTGGAAGCAGTACTCCAACTAGGAACCGAATCCTGTACAGGCATATTAGAAGACGGAGACTGTTTGTTTTCAGCAGCCTGGCCTTTTGAGTTTCCATGACATGACTTGGCTGTGGGACTGAGAAGATCTGAGAAATCAATTTCCCTATTCTGCTCTGCTTCAATAACCTTGACCAAAGAAATTAAACGACAATTCGAACTCCAGCCATTTGAAGGCCTACTTGGAGGTGGAGATATCCAGCTTTGCCCACAAGATTGGCTTGCTTTTCCCTCACTGCCACCTTCCGTTCCACATGCAGTAACAGTTTCTTCTTCACTAGTCTTGTTCACATCATTATTTGCATTACTTTGACCAGAGACACATCCTTCAACTTCATGACTTTGGCTTGTCTGATGTGATACAGATTCAAATGGTTGTCCAGAAAATGTAGATGAAGGAAGCGAACTACACACTTGGTGCCGACCAGGTGAGTGATTATCGACCATCATCACATCCCCTTGTGGTAAAGGACTTTCATTTTGTCCTCCATTGGAATTGACACCATCTGCAGTTGTGACACAAGGAGAAGAGTCAGCGCCACATTCATTGCTCCTAAGAAATTCATTGTCACCATTACAACATGCAGTTGCACTATTCTCCACTAAGTTCCATCTTGCCTCACTCCTTTTGCTTTCCATCTGCTTCACATTTGTATCCTCCTTACAGTTGTCATTTTTTTCATCAGCAGAGGCAATCCTCACGCCCAGCATTGATGAAGAATTGTTTTCAAACAAATCTGTCTGTTTACAGTACTTTCCATCTAATGCATCAGTTAAGAGAATGGAGTCACTCTCCTTTCCATTTACCCTCCAAATTCGCAGATCATGAGGGAAATTTCCAGTCACATTCCATTTGCGCAACATTGTCATGGAAAATGGTCCCTGAATATTTCCAGATGGATCTTGATAGTGCCATATTTTATCTGTCTCAATACTGCTAACGGATGGCTCCATTCCAGCAGAATATGATGGGGCTTTATGTTCTCTATTTCCTATATCATCCAAGGCATCCCCTCCCTTGAGTGAAGAGGTAGGTTCCCTTTCCTTTCTACCAAAGTAAAAAATTCTAGGTTTCTCAAGGTTATCTGCACATATAAAACATTAATTACCACCAAAAAGAATCCTAGTATATCATATCAGAATTCAGAAATTGTTCAATATCATAACTCATAAGTGACATAGATACCTTTTTTCTTCTCATTCAGCTCTCCCATGTCTTCTGTAAACCCAATACTTGGTTTCATATTTGGATCAGCATGTACTTCAGGAATTTCACGCAGCCTGCGCTGGCGTTCCTCAGGAGAGTGCAGAAGCTGTAATTTTTCGACACATTCTCTAAGCGTGCAATATGGTCAAGAAATTAACAAGCTTCTACCAATTTAAGCAACATAGATAAATGGCAGAAAAGCTTCTAACCAGTGCAAACTACCAACACCACTTATAGTGGGAACACAACAAACACATATGGTAAAAGAAAATAGATACATGAGAAGGTAACTTCAGAAAGGTTGCTAAAGAAATTAGGGATGTGAAGATTTGGCAGTTCAAAGCTGTCAATCTACATCATTTTAGGTTTCTTATTACCATGTCCACACTCTCATGCAGCCACAAATTCCTCTGGTTGTCTCTTTTTCATTTCAGTTTACATGGATAGCTACCTGACCTCAACATGGTTAATATAATTTGTTGGTAACAAATATAGGTTAGCAGCTAGAGTAAGGCAAACACAAAAAGGCACAAAAGAGGTAAAAGTATAAATATCAAGCAATGAAGGATATTCCTTTCTGAGTCCTTTTTCATTTGCTCGATCACGAAGGTGCTCAAGCCGTAAAATTTCTGACTCCAGCCACTGGTAAGAAAAGTAGGAGTATGCACAAAAGTACAGGTTAAAAAATCACCCTCAAAATTACTGGGTATAAAATATGAATCCACAGTTTTAAGACCAAAAAAAAAAAAGAAAAAGAAAACACACACACACTAAATGATGCATTTCAATTTACAGCTTGGGAACTTACAACATTAACCCTCAGTGCTTGAAGTGCCATTGCTTTCTTCTGAATATAACCCTACAGTTCACGCAAAAATCTTCACTTCAATGAAAAATTATAAACACTATCTCCATAAACTGGAAGTGAATGCACATACCACAGTCAACTGTTTCATCAGCCCACATTTTATGCACTGACGTAGCCAGCGGCATTCATCCTGATATTAATAATGAAAATATCAACACCAGAAGGAAACTTATGAATTTTATCCAGAAAGGCACAATTTCAGCACCATAACATACTATCTGTTGGCAACCTAGGAGGAAAATGAGTATTTTAGGCAGATTGTCTAGTCACCTCAGAGAAATCTTGATTTGAAATCCCATCAATTGGCACAATCTCTTTCTTCTGTAAATTTAAAATCTCAAGCATGAGATTAGTTGTCCTTGTACCAATCTTATATGGTTCAGCTGATTTGCTTGTACCTAGACACAAAACCATCAATAGACAATAATGCATGTCCATGTGATAACAAATCAAAGGAATTCTTCCAGCATTGGTTATATAAATAAATACCTACAACTTGGACGAGCCTATGCATATCTCGCTTTTGATCACTACCAGAAATCCGTATGCGAACAATGGAACCAACAACCTTCTCATGAAACTTGTCAGCATCATCAATTAGCCTCTCAAGTAAATCACGCTTCAAGTAGATCAATGTAATATTGTGAATGTCAATTGCAGCATATTCATCCAGATTGGTCTGTTGTCGTCTCTCATCAACCTTTTTACGTGTTTTACGCCTCTTATCATTTGTCATTGTAAATTGGTTATCATGGTTCCCACCAATACCCACCTGGTTAACAACAGCTTTTACAACTCCACTTGTAATGGTATTAGCAGTAGTGGAAGGGTCAATGAGAAAATGAGATTCAAGAAGCTTTAGCATTTCAAAGTGACCTACCCTTCCCTTTCCAAATAAATTTACAAGCCTTGCATCACAAAGGACTTGACACTTCTGGTGAGGATCACGAAGATTGTTAATCTTCACATACTCCAGCAAAAGAGTCTGGACATCAGAATGAGATAACATGGTCACATCCCCATTTTTCATGTGTGCTACAAACTCCAAAAGCTCCTTTGTTGCCCAATTTTTGCCTTCAGACAAAGGCATCTCTTTGATAACACTTGACTTGTTCGTTACTGGATCCTCCTTGTTTAGTAAAATCTGTTGCTTGGTAGTTCTCCTTCTTTTAGAATTACAACCACCTAGGTCTCCACAAGAATTTTCAAAATTAGAACATTGAGCATTAGCAATGTTAGTTCCATTTAAGGACTCTCCTTTTGAAGCCATAATAGAATTTCCTTTCCATGGATTTTTAGCACTGGTAAGCTCATCTAGACTTAAAGAGATCTTCTCTTTCAAGCAAACCCAATATACTTTGAAAAGATACTCCCAACTACTTTTGTCATCAAAATCTACTTGAACCTGTAAAGGAAAGAAAAAGAATGTAAAAGGCATGACAAATGAAAGCAAACTACAACTGCACAAAGTACAAATATTACCAGGAAAACAACAGGAATATGATAAAGGAGTTGCTAGAATTTAATAGCAATAAGGCAAAAAGAATTGGGAAAATTGCAAGCAACATCCAAAGATGGTCTAACAAGGCAACTAGAAACAGCAATGAAAATGCAAAACAAGATATGGAAACAGTTCAACACTTCCAGTGATCTATAAATGATAACCATAATAATCAGCAAATTTCACCATACCGTCTCCTTATTTCCCGAAGCGCTGTTTTCAATCAGCATTATAGTTCTCATGCATGTTCCACAAAATCCTTTATTTCCTCTTACACACACATAATCAGCATCTTTAGTACATCCCTTGCACAAAGAATATGGACAAGTATAGCACATATAATGGGAAGACTTCTGACAACTGCTACATATGTGCCACCCTGAAACATACAAAAATTGCAACACCATTAGCCATGTAGTCTGGTGGTAGACTAACCTGTGCTCTTAGTCGCAAATCTAGGGTTCAATCCCTAGTCTCTACATACCCAAATACACACACACACACACAACAATTGTAACACCAAAACATTAATGAACAGAATAACTTAGTTCATGATGCAAACAAGGAATAAAGGCAAACACACTAAATAACAATAAATGAATATAGACATGATTAAAGCACACTTTAAAACTTCACAAAACATTATTTGTCGAGTCCCACTTTTTATGCTTACTTTCCATAAGTCCAAAGCAACATACAATTTCCCAAAGCTAATCAAAAGCAGAAAAATGCAACACACAAAAATTGCACATTTCACCTTGAACAAAATTAAGAAGGAAGACAAGAAATTCACTGAGTGCAACATACCACAGTTCCATTTTGCCCTTGAACGGAAAAATGCCTCGTTCCTCTTAATACAGGGTGGATGGTAGGCCTTGGGACAGCCCCTAATGCAAAAACCATACAATTGACCAAATAAGTAAGTGAAACACATATGGAGAAAACTTATATATATATATGCATCAAATTACTTAAAAATAAAAATATGGAATATATATATATGCATCAAATTACAAGACAAAGATTTTTTTTTTTTTTTTTTAAATGCCAATTACTTAAAAACTTCTGTCTATGAGTTATATATTTTCCCAATTCAGGGGCTGAAAGCATTTCAAATGACACCGTGCTAAAAAGAAAAGCTAAAATCAATCACAAACACACAACTGCAGAGTCAGTTCTAATTTAGCGGCCGAACTACATAAAATTAAGCTTAATCAAAAGCAGCTTTCGTTTTCCCTTAAAAGATGCTTGACTAAGGAAAAGACATACTTCCTAGCCAAAAAACTAAAAGACATACATCAATTTTCATTCCATTTCCTGCATTTTCTTATCATCCAAACAGATTAAACCAAAAACAACTCCTAAGCTTAACCTCACCAACTCACCGGCGATCACAAAGCACGAGATTCCCACCATCGAAGCAAATAAAACAAACATCCTCCTCCTCTCTCTTCTTCCTCTGCGGAGGCGTCGTCAACGCTGTTATCTTTCCCAGAGATCTCGGCGGCCGGCCACGCCGACGCTTCCCCAAACTCGTCTCCGAAACTCTCGCTGTCTTCACCAAACTTCGACCCTCCCCTCTCACCGCCACGCCAGCATCCCCTACAAGCTGCGAATCATCCATTTCCCGAATCTTATAGCATTGATCGACGGTCATAATCTCATCTCCCTCCAAAGAATCACTACTGTTCCGATCATCATCAACAACTCGGTTATCTTGTAAACAAGGTTGTAAACAAGGTCGGTAAGAAAGAGTCGTAGTTGACTCAAACTCCTTATGCCGTTCCGCTGATTCCATGAGAAAACTTTGAACAAAGAAAGAATATTAGAAAGATATCGATTTGAAAAGTGAAAACCCTAAGGACTGAATTTGGGAATGGGGGGTGAAGAGGCACATGAAAATGGACTTTTGAGGAAGAAGGGATGTGACAGGGCTGTGTTTGGGTTGAAATTAAAAGTTGGCGATGAGGACGACAACCTCAAAACAGGTAAGGAAAGGAGAAGAGGGTCACTTTTTAACATATGGGATGTGAATTGGAATTTGGACGGAAGCGTCAAACGCGGCCCTATCTCCAAGGGCATTGAGAAGTCGCTGGGAAGGGGTGGGGGGTAGGAGTTGAGTTTCTTAGTGTGTTTGCTTTGATTCTCCAATCCCGTTGGCTCCTCTCGCAACCACGTGGTTAGTGGGTGGGAGTAATTACGGGAGTATACAAAGAAAAAATGGGTGTATTGCTGCGACGCGGGTCCCACTTTTTGCAAATTTATTCAAACACTAAATACACGATCCACCTATGTCATGTCTTTCCCACTACCCCTTTCTGCACCTTCGGACA